AGGCTGAACTTCTGGCTGACTAGAAGAGAGCAATGATTCTGTGGGTTCTCCTCCATGTTTGGCCCTACTGTTCTGAAGCAATTTGGTTTTATTTTTAGTCACTAAAAGGAAAAAAGTCCTTCAGACAAAAATCACTTTCAGTCAATGTGGCTCACAACTTAGCTCAGGGCAACCTCCACTGCACAGCAGCTAGGCACCTCAGGACACCCTACAATGCACAGCAAACAGACACCCCAGAATCCCCTACAATGCACAACAACCAGATACCCCAGGACACTCCTCAATGCACAGCATCCAGACATATCAAGACACCCTACAATGCACAGCATGCAGGCACCTGTCCACACCTCAAAAGCACAACTCTCACTCAAAGGGGATAAGAGAGAATATATTCTGGAGCCAAATCACCATGGTCCAGGAATATATATATATTACCCCAGATTCCTCACTCCAGTGTGGAAGTGGTTTCCTGAGGTTTTTATAATAACAGAACAATGAAGACCATGAATGAGGACACTTTAAAAACACATTGGTGGAGACATAAAGCAAGTGGGTGGAGCAAATGAGCCTCCAATGCAATCGGTGCAATTGGATGACGCTTAGCCTTTTGATTTGTGGTGTAGGTGTCTGTAAATTCTAAATGATTTGCCTAATGTTTACAAAGATATTAGGTCAGGTACAAAGCAAGACTATAAATGGCTATTAACAGGACTAAAGAGGGCCCCCCCCCCCCGATAATTGGGCTCTGGACTGGCAACATTCCAACCTCTCTACAATCATTAGAGTTCTAATCAGTTAATCAGTCTTTTGATAGGTCAGTTGGAGGAGGGGATTTTTTTTTCAGGAACTTTTGTTCATAACCATTGTGTGTGTGTGTGTGTGTGTGTGTGTGTGTTGTTGTTGTTGTTGTTTGTGTTCATTCATGTGAATTTTAGCATATATACCACTGCACTCACATGGAGGTCATAGTACAGCCTTGGTATTTGGTTCTTACATGGCACAACCTTGGCCCTCACCTTCCACTTTGAAATAAAGACAGAGCCCACCTCCTCCTACATGTGCCAATACTGCTCCCCACAAACGTCTGGAGATTCTCCTCATATTGCCCCTGCCTCCCTGCAAGAGTTCTGGGAGAGCAGACCTGCATATCAAAGAAGATTCTGAGGACTCCACCTTGACTCTCTTCACCCACTAATTTCCCTAGCCCTATATCATCCTTTTAAAGAATGGTAATTAAGCACTTCTACCCATTCTGTTAGAAGGACAAAGCCAAGCTGCATTTAAAACAGGTAAACTCAGATATGCATTATAAGGTTTGAATCTTAGAACTGAACAGAAATTATAAAAACAAACAAATGCAAAATTTAGACACTCCTGTGGCCCTTAGCTCTCAGACACTTCACAAGAGACAGTTTATATTTTTCTGTTTTGTTGCCATCCCTTTTCATCTCTGATCTCTAACCAAGATCAATGTGCTGTCATTTGTATGCCTCTAGAAAGCCACGTTGCTTAAGACTCACACTTGCTGCTGTGGAATCCAAGACAGCACAGTCCAGACACTGTAGGGCTTGCCCCAGTAAGTGTTAAAGTTGGAGACAGTTCCATACCAATCAGGACAGTCTAGAATTGTCGCCTAACAGCAACATTTGTACTTTCATAAAACAACCAAAGGTCAGAACTTGAAGAGGGACTTGTATTCTTAAGTCTCCAGGCAGGAACTATTCAGGTAGGTTTTGGAATAATTAATAATGTGGTTTAGCTGTGACGATTTTCCTTTCTGGTATCAGTCAGAGCATCACTTGGTGTGAACCGTCATTATCACAGAAGCGTCAACTGATAGACACTAAAATAAGATGTGACTTCTAAATTAGGATCTGTTCTAGGTTTAGAGACAGGATTAAAGTAAAGCATTTTGAGCAGAGTGATTAATAGTATGATAAGGAAGTATAAACATTGAATTACGTGTTTAAAATTATTGTAATGTATTCTTCCATAGTTATAAAAATCTCATTTGGATCGAATCTGCCACCTTCCTCCAATGGCCAGCTTTTGCTACTCTGAATGGAAGGATCTGGAGGTATTGTTTCACAATAAGAACATATTGTAATAGAACATTCCAGAAGACCAATCACCTTATAAGAGGAGCCTATCATTTATTAACCTAATATCTCTATATCATTTCTTAGCTTCCTCAATATCTCTGCTATTAGACACAGCTGATTAAACCCAAGCTTTTTCTGTTAGGTTGAAAATAAAAACACTGATCTCATGCCCTTTTCATGGGGCATCTGCCTTTATCCCTTATAGTTCCTTTCTCAACCACCAAATTGGACAGCAACCAACAGAATTTCAAAGAGCAAACACATAGCATTCAAATGTGAATGTAGCTTTACCTTCAGATCTTCCATACATCTGCCCACCCCCATTCAGGGTTTTCAGTGGCTATTGACCACATCTTCTAATGACCACAAATTAGCGTTGATTGGATTTCGTTTTCTGTCTTTCCCCTGAATGTATTTCTCATGTATGTCCCCACCAGATGTCTGTGCTGTCTTCATCTGAGAGTCAACGCAGTAAGACATCGTCCTCCTTTACAAGCCACGAGGGAGACTAGGGCAAGCAAGCTCCAGATGTGCAGCCTTTGAGCAAGGATTTCTCCCTGATCTGCATTAGGAATTTCAGTGATATTTAGACCTCTCCAAAGACCCTTTGCATCAGCCTGTGGACATTCCAACACACCATTGGAAGCCATATCTATGAGACACCTGCCCCTCCCCTTATGGTTCCTTTCTTGACCCCAACACTGGGCAACCAATCAGGGCTGGAAAGAATGTATAAAGGTTAACTCCACAAAACTTTCTGGCTGCCACTCAACCAGTTGTTTTCTCTTATCACCAAGATCCCGTCAAAGAACATTTTTAGACTTTTTTCTTCCAATCAAACTCCTGCCTTGTGGTATTTTAATATTACAGATATGTTGAATTATCTGTTCATAGATAGTGGGCCTTAGGTAAAACATATACTGCTGTAATACCTAATCTTTCAACTTTCAACCCTTACTACTCAATCTCACCTCTTTGAGCTATCTTTTCCCAGATACTAACAAGCCATTATGCATTATGAATGTTAGTATTTTCTTATTTAATTATGTCTGGATTTTTCCTACTTTCCAGTCCTTTATAAAGATTGTTAAATAGAAAAATATTAAGCAATCTTGTGTGTGAGTGTGTGTAGTGTTGTAGTAACTGTGAAACAGCTTTAGCTAAAATATGAAGGAATCTAGAGACATCATCAGTATTTTGAGAAGTTCCCCTGTAGACAAGAGCTCCCTTGTATACAGAGTTCTAATAAAGACAATTAACATGAGAGTGTATTCTTCAACAAAAGAAGGGAGTAGGGAGACTAAAAACCCTCTGAGCTGTCTGACTGGATTTGGGTCAGAATCTTGGGTTAATAAGCAATGGTTGCATACTTTTCATTTTCTGTCCTTGACTTCTTGAAACCGATACTTGGGAGGGTTACAAAATTATGGCTATGAAGTCATGTATCAACATGATGGTTAACTCTTTGAAGCCAAAAAGGCAAATAAAGAGTAATTAGCAAAGCTGAAAACAAAGATCTGTCCATCCTGGAGACTGCCTAGCAAGACAAACTAGTGAAGTGCACTGAGACTCAGGCTTCTTTGCTTTACAGTTGAATGCAAAACCTAAGGTCATCAAAATAGACTATTATAATAGTTTGAACTGCAGTTAAAACACTGCTATCCAGTAGGGGACACACACCTTAACACATCAGGTAACTTTGAAGACACTGCCATTGGGGCTACCTGCCATCAAAAAGTACAGCAATGTATTTTTCCACTCAAAATCCCAGAGTCCGAATTTATGATATATCAAGTAAGACATTCATAAGTGATGAAGGTGTCTACAATGAATTTACTAAGATGGTCAAATGTTGCCAGCTCAAACACTGAAGCCACCAAGAACAACTTGGTGATGTCCTTGGTGTTTGGGGGCAGGCAGCGATATGGGAGAAAGTGGTGGCTGTGGGCACTTTAAGCAAGTGAAAGAGAATGAAATTCATGTAGGAAAACAAATGCAGTAAAGCCTTGGGCCATTCCATACACCAGTGGCAAGGACTGCTCCATGCTGGGACCACAAGCTCCAGCTGAGGTCCTAAGCCCCAGGAGGAATACAAACTCAACTTGGAGTCTCAGGGACCCAGTGACCCAAGTGTCTTCCACAAGACAGGAAAACAAGTATGTCTGCTCAGGACCTTGCTTAGGACAGCCATTTCAGGAGCTTGGAAAGCCTCCGCACAAAGGAAACCAACAATAGAAACCAGGTCCCCTGCGGTACAAGGAAATTCCAGCAGCCCGCCTCCCAGACTCTTGAGTTTCTGAGTCTCTCTGAACTAAAGCCATTTGAGGGACGGGATGGAGGGGGCAGCAATAACTTCTCTTAAAAATAAGTGACATATAAATTGCCAGTTTGCTGCAGAAATAACCACAATGCTGAAACGTGTCATTTCCACTCTCCTCACGAAAATAAATAAATAAGAATTATGTCATCCGGTAAAGGCCACTGGACTCCACCACTTACCACAATGCCTGCTTTACTGGTGTCAGATTAGCTTGACCCAAAGTGAGCACGGCATTCAGCTTTCCAACTCTGGAAGAAGTCACCCACATCCTGGTATCAACTACTCCAGGACACACCTACCTTCGTGACTTCTAAGATGCAGGGGATAAACCCACTTGACCCACCATACTACCTCCCATGGCCCCCAGGACACTTCACACTCTTCAGTACGGTTCTGGAAGGAGGAGCTACCGTAGCTCGGGGCGAAGCAGGAGAATCCCTCCCCCAAACAATGCTTTTGGTCTGAGTTGAAAATTTAAAAAAACGGAGGGGCTGGGGGCGGGGTGAATGGCCCAAAGAACCCCGACAACGACAAATGTGACCTTGTCAAGGAAGAATACAAATCAATGAATCCCTTACCGTCTCTCCTGAGATTGGCATTGCGCAAAGCTTTGATGGATGCGCTCTGCGGAGTCGCAAAAGTGTCCCGATAGCTGCAAAAGTTCGCGCACACAAGAATGGAGATGAAGATGAGTCGGTGCATTTGGGATCAGCGACCTAGGGATAGCCTCGTTCCAGAAATAAATATATAAATAAATAAAGCCCACCGGGTTGGGCCGGTGGACCTCTGCTGCACCGCCCCGCGCCTTCGCCGCCTGCACTGTCCTGCGCTGCCCGGGCCGTCCAGCTACTCGCCCAGCTCTTCCCAAACTTCCTGCATGCTGAACTTTCCAAGCGCGTGTGGGTGCCGCACTTCCTTGTGACGCTGACTAGATCAATGGGGACGGGACAAACAACAGGTTGACGTGGGTTCGCCCCCCTCCGGTGGCCGGCGGCTGCAGCACAAGCTGCAGGGGGCGGGCGGCGCGGCGTCTAGCCCTCCTAGAGCGCAGAAGCTGTGGAGTTATTCTGCAGTGGAGCTGGGAGCAGGGATCCCAGAGTCCTGGCTCAAAGTCTGGACCAAAGCAGCTCTGCCATTGAGCATGCCCAGTTTGTCGGCCAGACCCTTCCTATCTCCCAAGGTTTTATAGGCGGTCAGGAGGAGTGGGGGGAGGATAGAACTTCTCAAGAGCGGAGTGCTAAGTCCTCCTGCCAGCTAGCTAAGGTGCTGGCCTTGGTGATGGTGTATCTGGGGAGCAGAGCTGTAGTGGAAGTGTTTATTGTACTAGACCCCAAATCAGCCTACTGAGTTGAGACTTCACTATACTCTTCAGTGGGAAATAGAATCACAAAGAAAACCATGCTGCGCTTGCATTGAGGCCCCAGTCTGTAAGACAGAGTTGATTCACAAGTGATTTCCAACAATAAACAAGGGAGCCAGCTTTCCTAGACACACAGATGTATTTGTAATCTCTCCTACAGTAACTGCAGTAACCCATACCATCATGTTAAGTGAAATAGCAAGATTCAGGGTGAGAATAAGGGAGAGTTTGCACAACTTAACGGCAGAAGGTCTGCCAGCAATTGGAGGCCAGCCTGCTCTACATAACCCTTTTCCAGGTCAACTAGAGCTACATGATGGGACTTTGTCTCAAACAACAACAGAAAATGAATGAACACATAAATAAATTAGATGTAGTGGTGCATTCCTATGATCTTAGTGCGTGGGCAAGAGGACAAGGAGTTCAAGGCCATCCTAAGCTGTATAGTGAACTCCATTTCAAGGCCAGCCAGGGCTATATGGAGATCCTATCTAACATGAAACAAAACAAAATCCTATTGCTTGCTTTCTAGATTTCAAATATGTGCATGATACATGAAATGAAGGGGGAATATTTGGGCAAAGGTCAAGAACTAGTAGGACAAAGGGAAGCAAGAAAGTACGAGACCCCTGAACCTCTTTTTTCTTTACATAATGCAGTTGCTAATAAGTGGCAGCTCTTAGTTTGTGTGACTATGTCAAGGGTTAGATGAAATAATTTTAGACTATAATCATTGTTTGTAGCTGAATCTAAATCCAAACATACGTATTTCTTCAACTGTTCACTAGTGACATCTATAAAACAGAAGTCCCAAACTCCTTTAGGCCTTCCAGTCCTGAAAGTCTAAGGTACAGGACATACATGATATCCATTCACTAGAAGTACTGATACAGAGGCTACTCTACCATATGACACTAAAGAGGATAATGATGTGGGTCACTTCATTTCAGTACCAGCACTATTTTTCTTAAGTGAGTAAAATGGAACACAATAGCTAAGAAAGTTCTCTATGAGGTTCATTGAAGCCACCCTTGCTTCATGGACATCATCGTTTTAGGACCTCATGCGTGGCAGTGTACATATTATTTCTGTAGGCCACAATCAAAAAGTTTGAAAACCTTTGAGGGGGGAAATATGATAATGTTGTTTCAAAATATTATCTGCCCCTAAAAGAAACATAAAAAGTAGGTTTGCAGGAGATGGTGCAGTCAGTAAAGCACATGGAGACCTAGGTTCAGGTCCTAGCAGCTGTGTAAAAGCCGAGAGCTGTGGTGCACACGTGAAGGCCCCTGCAGTGGAAGGCAGAGGTAGGCAAGTCCCAGGGATTTAATAGGCTAGCCCATCTAGCCTAAAGGGTAAGCTCATGATTCAGCCAGAAACACTGTCTCAGAACCTAAGGCGGGAAGCAACAAAGAAATCCAGTGTCAATTTTGGGGCTTCACACACACATATATATATACCACATACATAAGTTTAAAAATAAGCATAGGTTTGCATTTCCCCATTCATTTATTTGTCAAAAGACAGTTTTTCTTTTGTTGCATTCTCTATTCTAAATATCTTGATGTTGAAATAGCAATTGAGATATGGTTCTTAATCCATTGAAGCAGAGAGACCAAAGTAAATGGATACATGTCTGCACTGATAAGAGAAGAGGAGCCAGAGACAGATGAGTAGGGGGCTAGCCAATCCATTTTCTAGACATAGCTAGAAATGCTGGTTGAATTTCATACTTAGGTTCAACCATGAGGATGTAGGAAGAATGAGAAAATGTGCGGTGGATTATGTATTTGTTACAAGTATGGTCACAGTATTTGTCTCAATTTCATATAAAATATCAAATTTAAACTATTTATTTAAAGTAGTTTTATCCAAGATACTCATGCTGGACCCTTTTAAGCCATGACAAATATTATGACTGAGGATGTTCAAAGACATAACTATCAACATGATCTTTGATAGCAATAAATATCGAAATGCAGCAATAAGACACAAAAATCAGGCACCTGAGTCAAACTAATTATTTTGAACCTTGTTTCAGCATTACTTAATAACTAATTTTTACAAATTAGGTCTGTTATGGCTACTAAGGTATTATTGTGCACAGCATGAATTTAAATAAAAGTACTCTGAGATCGGGAAAGCTCTGGCACAAAGATAAGAGGGGAGATTATTTCAATTTCTTTTTTTGTGTATGTCTCAAACCAATCCAACAAAACATTGAATTAGTCACTGCTTTTAAATGCTTGTGGACCAGTAAGAAGAATGAGTCAACACAATGAAATCAAGTTTATAAATATTATTATTATGATTAACTACTTAAGTCAGCTCATCTATATTTAGCCACTGCTCAGTGAAATCCATATAACTAAAGGGTGCATGTATTGTTAAGAAAATGAAAGAAATAATAGCCTCTTACAATAGGTCTAGCCATATTGGTGTTTATCCCAAACAAATATTGTATTAGGAAGGGTCTGTAATGTGGTTAAGCTAGGACATGGCACTATTTTTATCGTGTGCCCTTTTCCTTTATAATAGGAACCAAGAATGCTGTTTTCTGTTTCATTTTCAAACATTCTTGGCTTCTTTTGCTGCTTCTAAAAAGTCTCGATGGAAAAGGAATGAAATATGGCCTGGCCTTTTGAAAGATTTCTCAACTCTGCAAGTGGGTCACCCCCTGTTCCCTTTTTGTTAAACTGAACTTCTGCCAATCTTTAAACTGTAACTCATGCAGAACCATTCTCTTGACAATAGTTGCCATTTTTAGGATGACTACTTCCTTCAAAGAGGATCTCCTCTGCTGTTCACCTTTCACTCAATAGGTCTCAGAAAAAACTAAGAATCCAGGACATTGCCTCTTGATTTCTACTCTGTCCTTTAAGAACACCACTTTGAAGGCTGCTTTCAAAGCTATGGACATTTTGTTTTCTTTTTAAAACATGCCCTCACAAATAGATTTCAGTATGTGATACAAGTGCAGTCTCATTCAAACCCACATACATTGGAATCATTTCTGTTACAAAGTCTGGTTGTATTCTGTCCTAGCTTCATTTCTGTTAGTGTGATAAAATATTCAGACCAAGAACAACTTAAGGAATAAAGGATTTATTTTACCTCATAATGTCACACTACTATTCATCACTTTAGAGAAGTCAAGACAGGAAATCAGGCAGCTAGTCATGTTATGTGCTCAGTCAAGAGTTGGGGAGTGGGGGCAGAGTGGGGTGGGGTGGGGATGGGGGTGGGGTGTCAGTGCCCCCAGGCTGCCTGCCTGCTTGCTTCCTTATTTACTTAGTACTAAGCTAGCTTTATTCTTATGTACTCCAGAGTCTCCTGGCCAGGGAGAGGTGCCACTCACAAAGGGCTGGATCAATCTAATATATGCAATCCCTCCCTCCATTGTGACTTCCTTCTCCACTGATTCTGGATTGTTTCAAGCTGATGGTTAAAACTAAACAGCACATATACTAGCATGAATAAAAGATTTCTATACATTATAATCAACATGGTTTTGAAATTTCAATAATTAATATAAAGTGTCAGCTCAAATGTGTATTTTTATACCCAATCTTGACAGTTACTTTTATTTTCAAAATTTGTCTCTTTTTCAAGAAATCAATAATTCAAATGTATAGAATATAATCAATATTTGCAAAATGAAGTATTAAATTTTATTGTCTGATTAGGAAATAGCTGCTGCAAGCCGCAAAATAAATATGAAGTAGAGTTTCAACTGATTATGACAAGCTAATACCTGGAAGAAGCCAAGGCCTTCCAGAGGTCACGCTGAGGTTCAAGGAGTCTCGGTGATATTGGCTTTTGATTATTAGCCATTTCCTACTATAAATTTCTCATGTACTATTATAGCTTTTCCAACATTCTTTGGGCACAATTTCCCCTCTGCTAAAAGAATATTTAGATAATCTTCTGAGCAGTAACACAACCAGGATCCCTAATTTCAGGCCTTTCTGTAATTATTGTCATTAGCAGCATCCAGCCAGGACCATCCCAGACGGATGAAAGTATTTTATACCCCTGTATCCTCTAAGAACAGACTTAAGCATCCAGACTATCTGAGAATGCCTGGCAAAGGTGCTAATTAAGCATAACTTTCTCCTTTCCAAAGTCTTACCTCTAGTTTTAGATCCACCCTTAACAATTAACTCAGAACTAAAGGGTTTCTTCTTACAGGTACATCTAGCTCTGACTGAAATTGCTTAGCCAAGTTGCCTAGCAACTGAGCACACTTCCCTGACCCTGCCAGAAACTGTGGGAGCAGAGATAGCTTAGAGAGATAAGGGGCAGGGGATAAAAGGCAGTTTTATTTTCAGAGCAAACACTAGATGGAGAAGAGAAAAGAGAATGGAAGAACTAGATGGGTAAGAACTGGAGAGAAATGAACAGAGATGGGGAAGAACTAGATTGAAGGGTGAGAAGAGAGTACTAGAGGAACAAGATGGAAGATGAGAAAGAGTCAGATAGGGAAGAACAAGATGAGGAAGAGCAAGATGAGAAAGAAGGGGCTGGGAGAGGAGCTAAGATGGGAAGGAATTAGATGGATGAGAACCTAGATGGGGCGGAACTAAGATGAGAGAATTAAGATAGAACTTAGAGGAGACAGCAGATAAATGTAGAGACAAATCAGGCAAGAAAGGAGCTAGGCATGAGAGCAGAACTGAAGCTGTGCAGACAGAAT